AACTGGGAGCCCCACGAGCTGGCCCGCCCGCACCCGCGCAGACCAGTCCACGCGGGCCATAAGGGCAAAACTGCATGACATCCAAGCCAGGCAAACCCGAGAGGCAGTTCCCGCAGCGATCCACCCGGAGCCGGGCAGCTTGGAAAGGGCAACCTTGAGCACGCACGCACATGCACCGGCACGCAAATGCGGGGTCCCAGCTGCGCCAACCGGTGCCCCCTATGAGCTGCTGCTGGCTGCGGGAGTCGGCTTTTTGTTCAACCTGCGTTGTCTTTGAAGCGGGCACAGGTTCGTTCACAGACTGGGGGAAACGAGCGGAATTGTTTTTGGATGGGCACTCCTTTACTTGTTCTTTCTTGCTTCCTTGCTTTCTTGCCTTGTTGCTTTCCTGCTTTCTTTCTTGCTGCTTGCTTGCTTGCTTTCTTTCTTTCTTTCTTTTCTTTCTTTCTTTCTTTCTTTCTTTCTTTATTGCTTTCTTTCTTTCTTTCTTTCTTTCTTTCTTTCTTTCTTTCTTTCTTTCTTTCTTTCTTTCTTTCTTTCTTTCTTTCTTTCTTTCTTTCTTTCTTTCTTTCTTTCTTTCTTTCTTTCTTTACTTCTTTCTTTCTTGCTTTCTTGTTTTTTTCCTTTCTTTCTTTCTTGCTTTCTTTCTTTCTTGCTTTCTTGCTTTCTTCCTTTCTTGCTTTCTTTCTTTCTTTCTTTCCTTTCTTCTTTGCTTCTCTTCCTTCTATTGCTTGTTTCCTGCTTCCTCCCTTCTCTCTCTCTCTCTCTCCACTCTCTCTCTCTCTCTCTCTCGCTGGCTCGGTTCGGTCGGTTCGCCCACCCCCCTTTGGTCCAAAGTGATGCCCATTTCTGTTGGGCAGCGCCCGTCACGCCACCCCCCCCGCGAGGCTGCCATTTGCAAACCCACCCCCCACCATTTATTTTGATGGTTTGAAGTGATGCTTCAGCGTGATAAGTAGATAGAAAATCAAAGGCCACCCCCAACAAGAGTTCAGTTCCTAGGGGCCGCAAATGTGTCTCCTTAAAGGCATGTCCCAACTCGACTGCGGAACCGCTCCGGGATCTCAATGGGGTCCGCTCGCGGAGCACTGCGTGTTTCCAGGTCGATGGCCTGCCTGAGGCGTTGGGCACGGGGGGGAATGTACAATGCTCACTTGCAATTTGAGAGTGAATTTCGATTGGGAATTCATGATGGTGGATGTCAGTTGGGTGGGGATTCATGTTCACCATCCGCTTGTGAGGTGTCCCAGTAAAATTCATGGTAGGCTTCCACCTCAGATCTTGCATCTGGACAACATGAAGCCAGGCTCTGTCTTTCGAGTGCTCGGGACGGGCTGGAAAATTTGGCCAGATCAGGGAGCGAAGGATGCACAGCCAGAGCGCCGCCAACAGAATAGGAAATAGACACATATGAGTTTGTGCATGTGCACATATAAGGGGATAGAAAGAAGAGATGCAACTGAATTTAGCGGAAAGCCTTGTAAACAACCAGAATTTTGTCGAAAATGTAGCTGGCTTTTATTCTTTTGGGGAGGACCCTGTAGCCAAGATCCGCCCACCCACCCACCCCCACCCGGAAAAGGAAAACACAACTTTCCACTACACACCCTACTAAAATCTACTTGCTTGCTGTTTTACGGTGTCGTGCTGCCCGATGTGGGTAAGTTTAAAGAGCAAACGCCAAGCAAGCCTCTGCAAAGTCTGCAGTCGGTACATATTTCATCTCCATCTCCATGCTGAATGCTGGGCTGTATCAGCGGGAGCGTCGCGCCACGTGTTTGATTTACTTGTGCTGGAGTCCCTGGAGGCCGGTTTCAACGCTTTCTCGGAGAAACGTTCAAAATGCCGTGGATCCCGACACTTTTACAAAGCTTATTGACAATTCAGCTCCAGTTATGCATATACTGGAACCAAAAAAGAGCTGAATCAGCACACTATGCCAGCAATGTGAATTTTGGCAAACTGCTGAGATGCAGGGTGCAAAGCTGTATGTACTCATGGCATGTACGGGCATAATGCAAGCATGTCATACCCTACTCCTAGTCATATGTTGTTTGGGTACTTTTTACGAGTAGCGAGTCAAACCCAAAGCTAAGTCAGATTATGTTCTCACACATCTGTTCCACTTACAGTACTGATTTCTGAATTGAACTTGCAAAACTCATTGGGTCCATTTGTCTCACATACAATATATGCATACGTGTATGTGCACATTGCGCAATGAATGGCGTTTCAAATTGACCAATAAACCATCTTTGCTCAGGTCGTGACTTGGAAGCGCCCTTGAGGAGTTGCCCTCTCAAATGCACAAGGCAGAAACTACCTGATAGGCCAAATCGATAGGAATCTGTGCGCCAGAAATCTTGAAATGGGTGTCTTTTCTTAGAGGACGGTAGTTGTGCTTTTGGCTTGCCTTTGAACCAACCCCAAAAGGCGTACCCTCAAACAAAGACACAGCTTCACCTCCACCAGGCAGCTTTTCCCTTTTGCCTTTACCTTAAAACAACCCAAAAGTACCAAACGAGACCCGCGCATTGGCTCGTTTCCACACGGCTCGGTCACCTCTTTTCCCTCGGGCCAACCTGGGACCCCACGCATGTCTGGTCCAAAGGCCTGGCTTTCACGCAGGCAAAAGTGATCGAGCTGAGGCAAGAGATTGCGCGTGAACAGTGGGCCCAGGTGTGTCCAAGCTTTTGCACGAGCGGCAGGCTCTTCCGGCCACCAAAGAAACATCATTAGGTGTCGGCGGCCCCCTTATTTTACCATTGCTAGAGTCAACCCTAAGTGATAGGTTGTAGGAAAACAAACCCAGTTTCTGACTTTGATAACCCCCAGAAACAGCTTACATATTGGCGCTGCTCAGCCTAAACATATTTTTAGCTGCCTGTCTTAGCGCCCTACTCACTCAATGTATTGACAGCGGAACACGTGCCGAAATCTGCCAAACCGGCCGATCCAATCGAACCGCTTAGAAACATGGACTCGCGGGATAAACTGATTCCCGACAATTCTAGCAATCCCTCAACCCGCAAAGGAAAGGACGTCCTACGCCCTCCATCAAACGGCTACATATCTGTCCAGCAAAAAAAATGCTAGTAGACCCTTTGCCTGCTGTCATCCCATGGTTTGCTCATTGCGTCGTTGGATTGGATTGTTTCACAAAGCAACGGTCAGCTTCAAGGCTTTGCCGCGCCCAATGAGATACCCCCTTTTCCAACCCTGAAGATCAACAAGTGCTCTCAAAAAACAGTGAGCACCTCCAATTTGAGCAGCCTCCCAAACCCCAGGCGTTGTTGTACCGAGATGGTAGAAACACGCTCGCATATTGCCTTACGGCGCAATCCAAATCGGAATCCAAATTGGCCAATGCCAAACGCCCACGACCACAACTCTCCTCTGCCGGTCGTAACCGCCGCCGTGGGAGCTCCAGGTCCAGCGGGTTCTGCGGCTTCGGCCGCCTGAAGCGATAAAAAGAGAAGCGGTTCGGGAATGCTACAGTGCGCCCCATTCTTGGCGCTAAGCCGATAGTCAAGACGCCCAGATCGATCTTTGGGCGGGTCACAACTTGTTTTCGCATGGTTGGGGGCCATGCTTTCAAACTCGCGCACTTGTTCACATTGGCCATGCCGTGTGTCACTCCCGTAGGTGGGGCTTGTCAGCTTGCACAGTGCGTGACCCCCAAGACATCAGCTCGGAAGCAATGTGTTGATTGCAACTCGAAGCAGCAAAGGTGTAGCTTGGTTGAACAATAGACAGGCAAAGCATGCACATACTACCAGTGACACTTGCTGCCGATGACAGCTGAACACACCGGTTTCAACAACATCCAAACACAATCATGGTAGGAACGCAGAACAAGCGTGACTGGTATTCAAGCATTGAACATCGTCGGCTTCAACCACACATTTAGCCGAGTTGAAATATTCGATCTTGCGAATGATTAGAAGTGTTTTCCCAAAAGTGGCGGATGCCGCCTCTAAAATGAAACATACCCTACCCCTCATCGACCAGGGGGATATTCGTTCTGGGTCAACATTCCCTATTTGGTCTACCATTTGGTGGGGATCAAAAGAGCCAATGTCGCAATCTAAACTTAAACACTGCACACGACAAGCGTGCCCCGTCAAAAAGCTCCCACTTGGGAAGCGGAACTCCCAAGAAGCAATGATATTTTTTAAGTGTGGTTGGAAGTAGATACATCGTCTCGTTCATGCAGATTTCAAGAGGAAGGATTCCAGAGCTGACAAACCCTCCCCCCCCCCACTTGGCCAGGCGGCGCCCGTGGCAAAGGGCTCCAAAACACTTCATGCTCCTGCGGTCCCATAGGGGAAGAGTGCTATGTTCGCCGCATGGTGAACATCTCAACCGTGTTACCACGTCTCAAAAACCGAGTTGCAGGTGGCTCACAAAAATGGGAGGACAAAAAAGAACAGACAGGAAATGAGCAGAAATGAGCGATGTTTGCTCCAAGGGTTCCTTGGCCTGCCTGGCTTTACGTCTGGGTACTATGGCCGTAACCTGAGCCTGCTGCATGGTCATCCAGAGCACCCAAGGATCCCAACTGCTTAAAAAACAGTTGGCCTTCCATCCGATGCCAACCCCGTCTTGTTGCCGACCAGCTTGGGGAATTCCTCCCCTTGTTTAGAGGCAAAACCCATATGAAGGGATGGTCGACATCAGACCCCCTGTTGGACAGGCCAAAATCAAACCAGGATCTCACAAACAGCGCACGCTTTTTGTTTGCAGTTCCCTCCCCGGAAGCATGGTCACAATGCCCCTCAAAAAACAAACACAACATCAAAATGCAGAATCGGGAGAAAAAAGCAACCAAGGCCAAAAGAAACCAAAAACAACAAGAGGACACGCACAAGAACACAGTGCACAATGCATAACCAATGACAGAGAAAAGCGGTACAACACACAATTCAACCATCTAATGATAATCACCTAGCAGAGCAACTAACAAGAACACAAGCAAGGACTGGCAAAACTATAACCTCAAAGACAACTACAGCCACAATGGTGGCAAGGATGCCATGTATGACAAGCATGCCTGTACACTTGTTCCTAAAAGTCTCAGCGGCCCGCTCCTCTGAGATAGAGCTCCTCAAGCGTCGACGGGGCCGGGCGATGGGATCCTCGTTGTCACCCCTGGCGCAACAGTCCAGAGAAAGCCATGAACAGTTGCTTGGCCTTCAAGCATATCTGCAGGCCGGGAGTGAAGTCTTGCATCCAGAAAGGCGGTCGAATGCGCGACCCATTCCATGTTGCCTGCAAACTGGTCCACTAGATCCAACCCCCAACTGTGCGGCCCAGAGCGTGTTCCCGCAACGCCCTCCCAAGCGGCTGAGAGGATGTCCGTCCGAGCCTGTCATCCAATATGACTTCCGCCTCCTGCAGATACCCACCGTTCCCCCACGGCGCTGGCCAAGCTGTCCCCCTCTGGTTGTTGTGCAAAGGGCATACCAATCGGAAAGGATTCCCTGGGGCAGCCAAGTCTCGGGAGTTTTCTCAAGGGTTTGAATCCAAAGAAGACATTAAGAGGGTGATCTAAAAAACACGAGTGCCAATGGAACAACTGGGTTGATCGCGCTGCAATAGCACGAAGGATAAAACTGGTATGCTTGCAAATGAGTCATCCCATTTCACCATCTCCACAAAAACCGGGCGGTAAAACCAGCATGGCTATGATGTCTAATGAATCACCAATACAGTGTGTCCACAAACAATGACAGCCCTCAGTCCGCCAGTCAACCGCTTGCTTGACATCATCTCCGTAGGGACTCAAATTGTCTCGCCACCAGCTTGCGAGGGTGTGCCACATGACAATTCTTAGCTGTGTGGATATGAGGGTGCCCATGTTGGGGTGGTTTTTAAAGGCAAGCCAAAGCAAAACAACCATGTTTCAAGCTGCCCCCATTTTAACACACCCATAGATGTGTAAGGAAACCCTATAAATGCTACTGGAAGAAACCGCGGGTGAGGAAGCACTGGAATCCCGGTGAAACCGGAACCCGCACCTCTGAGGAGCGGAGGCGTCTCCGCGGCCTCGGCGCCAAGTCCCGTGGCGCCGGCAGCGCGGCCCGGCCACGGGCGGCCGCCGTCTGCGCCGCCGCCGGCGCCACCGGAGCCGCCGGCGCGGGGTCCGTCGGCCTAACACAAATCGGTGCGCACCAAGTCGAGGGCAATGTAAGCTGAAAGGCTCGTGAAAACACCGAGGGCCATCTTTGTAATCATGTAGGACGTGTTTCATAGCAACTTGGCGAGTCATGCCAGTATTTACCTTATGCCTGGTTCATGGTTTGGTTTGGTGGCCGATAGGGGGCACCTTCCCCATTTGGCTTCAAAAGAAGGGGCTCGAATCCCCAAACCACCAATCCAACCACCAATTGAGGGATACCTTAAAGAGGGACCATGGCTGTGGTTGAAATAGCCTTCCGTGATACAAACCTGGGTCATGAAAGTTGCCTTTAACCTAAATTGGCCGATGGGAGCACATGACAAATGTTGGCTCATCTTCCCAAGGGTTCCAATCCCAAGTCTTGGGTGAGCATCTTTGAAGAAGTCTTTAATATCTGTGCTTCTCCCAGTCCCTATGTTTCGTCAAGCTTCCAAAGGGTTGGCCTTCACTCACAAATCAAGTAAAGGATGAATCGACCCGATGGATTACTGGGGAGCTGCAACTCAGCCAAGATGGATCCGGATGCCCTTACTTAGACATGTCACAGCCCCATGAAGCAACCAGGTGCTCATTCATCCTGTGTTCTCCTGGGGTGATCCTGGCTGTTGTGTCCTGAGAGGAGGCAAGGCCTGGGTTTGTGCCTCTGGAGTTGTGTGGCTACATGTCTCTCTTCGATTTTCAAGCGGGCGCTTTATTTCTGACGATGCTTGGGGTTGGAGGCGGGGGATTATTCCCACCGTCACACCAAGGAATCTCCCGCTTGTCAAATTGGGATGTGCCAATATCACACTGGGCAATTCCTTTTGCTTTCCCCCTTGTCCGTCGTTTATTGCAGCCTCTCTTTCCTGAATTGTTTTCACAACTTGGCAGTGGTTGATGCGTGCTCCCGTTTCTGCAGCTACCTGCCTGGTAAGTACTTCCTCACTGCCGGAACAATATTTCCTTTCGTAAAAGCCAAACCAACCACTTGCAGACAAACCTTGATCAAGCAAGCCGCAGCCCCGGAGATAAATCCATCAAGGTACCCATTTTCCACTTCACTCCATAGTTCGGTGACAAGCTCTTGCCCTTCACTCTGATTCTCCTAGATCAACTCTTGATCCGTAGCCGCCACCACCCCATTCCACGCGCGGACTGATGACCTGTCTAACCCGATAAGCAGCTGTGTTCCACTGTGGGCAAGAAACACAACACGGCGACACATCACAACTGGAAGCACAAAACAAACGACCCATTTGTGGAGAATTCTCCTTTCGGAATTCAATGTTCAGGGGCCCAAAGAGAATCATGCCTCTCTGGGAGCCGGAATACCACATGCCCTACACATGGAAAGCTTGGTGCTGGACATGAAGCAGAGGATAAGGGAATCTGTACAACCAAAGTGCCTGTTTTCAAAAACGGGGCGTGCCTCATCTACAAGGTTTCGATCCAAGAGAGGACCAAACAGCTTGGCGCCTTGGCGGATCCCAAATAAAAGAATACTGACACTTGCTGAGAAGCAACCTCCCAACCCTTTACCATCCTGTCAAGCAAGTGATGCACAGCAGTCTTTGCCTGCACAGCCCAGTCGTGTTCCTTGAAGGGATCAGCGGCTGTCCAATCCAGCCTTTTGCGATAAAAGTATACAAAACATTGAACATGTCTATGTGCACTACGCAAACTGCTGTTAATCCCTCATCTAAATGAGGAAAGCCCCAATGAACGGTTTCCTTTTGTTTTCCGTTTTCAAGCAGCTCCAAAAAGGACGCCCGGCCTTGAGCTGTCCAAGCCAACGGCACCTTCAGAGGAGCTCCCAGCCTCAATTCGTGCAGTTCCTCTGTTTGAGGCTATGCTTTTTGGGGTTAGTTTTACGGGGAGCAAAAGGATATTGGGGATTCCTTCATGCGACAAACCAAAATTACCTTGGCCCGCCGGAAATGCTGATGATTCAAAACTGGCACAGCTGCGGTTGACAACTGTTCAAGCATGTCGAAAGGCCACTGGCACTTTAGCCATGTCAGCAACAATATTCCCTTCAAAAGGAGCTTGAGGAGCTTCTACAGGGCTTTAAAAGGTGTTCGCCGACATCCTCGCCAAACTTGTCTGACTTTTGAGGGATCTGCCAATGCCCGCCATTCGGTGCTCATGGCAGGCGGCTTCCTTTCCAAAGCACTGCAGACTGGCGGCCGGTTCAAACGACTCGGCCTCAAGATCAGGGCCTGGCAAGCTGCCGGAGCCATAGTGTTTGTTGTTGGCCCACTTCCAACGGCGATACATGGATGGCGCCCCGTGCACGGCAGGCGGATGTGTGGATCTCACAAGTCTTGACTATCTCATTGCACTCATGAAATGGCATACAGATCTGACAGCCGTGGCAAGGTGGCGCCAACTCACCAAGGACGAGAGAGCAATTCATGCCAGTGACATAGCCAGGTTTTGTTGGAGTTAGCAGCTGAATGCCAACCTTTCGTGGATGCTCTTCGGCTTAATCAAATCATGACTAAAAGCTTTCTGTGACGAATTCTCACAATGCTTTCGGGCTCAAAGCCCAGCATCTACGTGACGCGCCAGCCAATTAACTGTAGAAATGCGACCATAGTCATTAAAGAGAATATAATAGCAAAAACAAGTCCTGCTGTTGATTTGACAGCGTCTAGGAGTTGGACCCGAGCGCCAATCCCCTGTTTGTATCAAGGGAACTCCTTGAAGATTTTGTCCTCGGCAACGCCCAAACCCCAACTCGCACCCGCTCGGCCGGGAAAAAAGGAATCAAACAGCCACTCGGTCTCAGACCTATCTCCCTTGAGCTGCTTGGAGAAGAGAACCCGAAGATCCAACTGCTTTTGATAGGCATGTGGCACGTGAACCTGGGGGAGACCCTTCGGATTCACCAACCAAAACCGCCAGCCATTTAAGAGAAGCGAATCCAACACCCCCGTTTCCCGGTCCCTTTCCCCGTCTCCTGGCTGGCGCCGCTTCGGCAAGCGAGCGAGCCAGGCCATGGCGCAAAGGCAAGAAAGCCCCGCGATCAGATGTCACGTGAGGCCAGGTCAATTCAGCCACTTCTTTCTCGGATGTGTGCAAAGTGAGAATACAAGATATATTATGATTCCTTCCAGATAGCGAAAAGGTTGCGATACATGCGCGGGTGTGTGTGTGTGTGTTTATGTGTGCTTTTGAAAGTGGGTAACTCCCTCTTGGTGTCTCAATGAAAGCCAGTGGCGGATGAAGCAGTTCAAGAAACCACAAGACCAAACAATTCGAGGAGTTCAAAAACCACCTTGCACCTTGTGGTCAACCCTTGTGAGGAAAACGCAAACATGCGGTGTGGTTCCCCTGTTTAAATTACAAAAAAAAAAAAATGATCGAGCCACATGAGACACGCCTCCGATACGTACCCTCGGAGCAGGCCTTCTCGGTTCGGATGGTGCGCTCCTGGCAGCCCTCGAACCCATGAAACGCCCCACTCGTTTTCCATTTGTTCCGTTAAAGTGGGGGCTTTGGCTGAGATATCGGCGGATGGCCTCCTGTACCACTTGGGTTTACGATCCAGTATGTTTCCACTACCCCAAACCACTACAGTGCCCCCAAATCAAATGGAGTTTCTGACATAGTTCTTCAAAAATTCCGTGGTCTGCGCGAAGTTAAACCATCTTGGATACTCCCGCATGGTCATAGAAAGATCGCCAAACTAAGGATATCCTTGATTTCATAGAAAGCACAACCTCGAACTCAACCGCGAAACGCATTGAAGGCTTACATTGGCCTACTATCCCGCACTACTCCCCTCCCCCCCCCGTCCCCCCCCAGCGGGCTCCGTGACCACCGGGGCCTTGCCAGGGGCGCTCCGCTCCCTCCTAGCGCCCGGATTCCCGATGGCTAAAGACGAGGCCAAAAGGGCCAAAGACGGCAAGTCAACCAAATGGGTTCGCGGGGCGGCCAGAAAGTATTATGTTGCCGGCCAAAGGGGACCGAGCATGGGATAAGTGTGCATAACTAGAACTGCTCTACCTTCCTTGTTTGTTCAAGTGGTTGTTCACTGTTTTCAGCGATGTACTAAAACTCAGGCAGACGAAACCGGGGAGAGGGGCCTGTAGGCAGCTGGCCAATTGTTTGGTCAACTGGGGGCTGCCGCCTGCTGGTGCAGTTGTCGGCTTTTCCCCTCAGCAGTTGAGCAATTGGTGCACAACCGCTTTTGTTCCTTTGTAGCAAGGTGCTTCCCTGCAGTCATATGGGTATCACTTCCAATGGGGGGACATTACTCACTAGACAATTGATGCTCATGGAGTACTACCTAGTACCACCTCCTTCATCAGTGAGTGAGAGAGCCAGAGAGAGCCAGAGAGAGCCAGAGAGAGGGAGAGAGAGGGAAGAAGAAAATGGCCCAAGAAGCAAGGCCAAGTATCCTTCGCAAAGCACGCCACAGGACATGCCCGGCATCGCACTCGGAGTCCTGGTGGTTTGGTCCTTCACCTTCACCTTCGAGCCATCGGGCATCACCTTCGTAGTCTCAACCTGGCGATCTCTTGCAAAAAAGCAGGCTGAAGTGAGAAAACCTTAGATATGTTCCATCACGCAAATGGATTCATATATACATAAATATATGTGTATATATATATATATATATATTTCCTACATATCTTTATGCAAATGTATATATATATATATGTATATATATATATATGTATACATGTATATGTGTGTGTGGAGTGTCTGTCCGAGATACAGTTTGTTGGAATGCAACCAAACAAAAAGGTTGCAGAAAACGTGCTCAAGTTCATGGCAAAAGTGAATCGCTGCAGGATGCAGGTCCTGGGATGATGCCACTGGCATATTTCATGAATGACAGCTCAACTTATGTATACATGTTGTTCGACCACTTTAGTCAAAACTGTTTTTCAGTATGTGCGTGCACGCTTGACATAACGACAGTTACTCGACCTACACGTCGTTCGGATTCAGTATGTGCTAAAGGTTGCGAAACAAACCTCAATCTAGCTAATGTTGTGCAACATGCTTCACAATAAACCTACCTGCAGTGAAAACAACGTCAACTACATGCTGATCATGATATACAACTTATTTGGGCTGCTTCAGATATCATATAATATTCTGTGAAGGGTACGGCAACATGTGCCCTACATGGTGTCTTAAAACACACAATAAAACTCATGCAAATTTGGGCAGCAATATCATATCAGCCTTTGTACATTCAAAATAAGACTAGCTGAGAAACCTACCAGGACAAAGGAACTATACAAACAAACAAACAATGGGAATAAGTGAGTATCAGCATGTCTGCAGTGGCTTGCTTTGTTCAGCACATGTGTGAGTGTACATGATTGACAAAAGAGAGTGGGTTCCCAGTGACCCGTTTTCGCCTGGGGTTGATGACCCTCCCCACAAAGACACCATTTTCTATAAAAAGCACGCAAACACTCATACTGGCAGTCACAACCGTGGTTTCCTCTCCATGTTGAGATGCAATTAAGCATTTGCTCTGGTTTGCGAATCGTGAGCCCAATGGTTATCTGCTTGGTACGTGCAAGGAACATGGCTTTCCGGGACCTTGGGGTGGATTGCCTCCTCTCTTTCAGAAGCCCCGGGGCTCCGGCAATGGTGATGTTGGTCCGCGTGACCTGGCGAGACGTCAAAGCGCTGTCTGACCAAGTACAACTCGTCTGGGCCACATAAGGCCGATCGAAACTTGGGAGGGGTCGAACTTCTGTTTAGAAATTCCATGACGTTGAAGGCCCCATCAACTGACTCTGTGCATCAACTCACCCCCCCCTCCCCCTCCCCGAGCAACGAGTCAGCTCAGCTGGAATGCCCGATGAAGTCATCAATGAGGCCTCAGCGGCGGGCGGGACCCTTTTAGGGTATTCTTTCGGGCTTGATTTAAAGGCAAACCAACAGGAACTGTGATTGACCCCCTTTTGGGGTTGGTTGAAAGGGAAACCAGAAACCAGGAGGCCCATATAGTGAAGTGCACAAATGTCGTTGGACTCTGCGGCCCATCTCTCTTTTGCCAGTTGAAGCAGCTGGGCACCCCGCCGTTGATTGCAGACCTGGCAAGACCTTGGCTATTTTGGGGGAACAACTGGATTTGCCGTCCGAGCTCAACACCCATAATATCTCTGGCCCGTCATTTGCAGTCTGCCAAACACAGCGCGACTGTAACAGCGACACGACCTCTCTTGCTACAAGCGTACTCACAATTCCAGTGCATGACAACTCTTTCACACAAGCATAGGAGCACTTGCACGGCTCGTCGACAACCCCATGCAAAAACTCCACCAATGACCCAGAACCAATGTAAGATGTCAGAGCAAATCTGCTTGAACACCATAAACCATGCCACATCTCTGCGTCTGCTCCGACCGAAGCAAGGTGGGGCTGGTGCCAGGAAGGCTGCTACTGCAGCGACGGCTGCAGCAGCTGCCGCCTTGCTGTATGGATGATGGCTCTGCCGGCAAGGCAAAAAACTGTCTAGATGTGTGAGCGCCTTCTTTTGAGCGTACGTCTTGGTTTCCCATGAACTGGGCCCAATTGTCAGCGTTCCCCCTATTTGTCTCCTCGCGCTTTGCAGCCTCTATCATTGAGCACAAAAGCGCAAATCCAAAGCAGTGTGTTTCCCACCCAAGGATCCTCCCCAAATCTGTGAAGTCCCAGCTGGGGAATTGAGCATTCACCCAGCCCGCAGTTAGTGTTGGCTGCCAACCTGAGCCCTCAACCTCTACAGTCAACCCTCAGGTAATTGAAGTGGGAACCATCCCCAGCACCCCCTCCCGCCTGCCACATGTTGCTCTCCGAGGCCTTTGCGGGCTCGTCGGGCTCTGGTGCACCCGCCTGACTTCTTGAAAAGCGAGAGACCCCCGTTGGCCACGGGATTGTCTTTGGTTTGTTTCCCCTCTTGTAAACTGCCATAGTCCAACCTGCCCCAGTCAAGGGCTTCCAAAAAGTCGGAATAGGTTTGCGGTGCTTCACAAATCTGGCCCTCGAATCGCAAAACGCATTCGGAGTACGCCTGGCCCAGGAGGTATCGAACGCCTCCTGGTCCAACCACCACCCCAGGGTCCTCCGGCCTCGCTCGCTTCCGATCGACCCAAAAAGGCACAGAAGGAACCAAATGCATGCAGGAACAAACCCCTTCCGGAGTTCAATGGTAAGTTGTAGGGAAGTATCTTCGACTGTGTATTTCACTTTCTCTCTTCTCTCTTGTCGCTTCTCGCTTCTCGTTTCTCCCTCTCACCTTCTCAAATCTCGCTTCTCCCTTCTCCCTTCTCAATTCTCGCTTCTCGCTTCTCGCTCCTCGCTCCTCGCTTCTCGCTCACCTATCCTATCTTCTCTCGCGTCTTCGCTCTCTCCTGACTCCTCTCTCCTCCTCTCCTCCTCTCTCCTCTCTCCTCTCTCCTCTTTCCTCGTTCCTCGCTCCTCTCTCCACCTCTCTCCTCTCTCCTCCTCCTTTTCTAGCGCTCTCTTCTCTGCTCTCTCTTCTCTGCTCTCTGCTCTCTGCTCTCTTCTCTCTGCTCTCTGCTCTCTGCTCTCTGCTCTCTGATCTCTGCTCTCTTCTCTCTTCTCTCTTCTCTCTTCTCTCTTCTCTCTTCTCTCTCTTTCCTGTTCTCCGCTTCTCTTCTCATTCCTCTCGCTTGCTCACGTTGAAAAAGGGTGTGGTAAGAATTCATTGGTATCTTCTCTGAAACTACCTTCCAACCGCAGCCTGGATTTTTCAGCTGCAGCTTAGCTGGGTTAAAACAGGATTCACTTGTGAACGATTTCAGGCCGATGGATAACATGTTGGTATGCACTGCCCCCCAGTTGAGAACCCCCCTCTAGCCACAAGACATACTGCCACAATGTGTCAGAAAGCCTCTGGCTTCCTTGCAAGGCTGAGCTCTTCCGCGGCTTGCAAACTTTGCGTCTAAATGCCGACGGCTTGCCTTCAGCAAACATTATGGCACTTAAAAAAAGACCAAGGGACTGGGTATATCTTTGGCCATCCGTTTTGAACTTCCTATCCAATTTGGAGCAGCCAACTGACAACTTGTGTGTGGCTCGAAAGACTTCCATCCGTGGGATCTCCGCCGTGCGTCGAAAGCTCCCAGGGCTCCCGGCCCCACCAACTCTCCCTTGAACTCCACTGTGGTGCCACAGCTAGGCGTGGGAACGTGAAGGCGAAGGCAAAGGCCCAAGTAACTTGTTCTTGCAAGCTGGAAGTCGCTGACAAATGAGAAGCGTCAAGGAGATGAGGAGGGAGGTTTCTAGGGCCATTATTTCCAACGGGAAAATCGCCTGTTTCGTTTCCCTTTAGCCAGCCCTCCCATTTAGCCGAGACTCAGCTCCTTTTAACTCTTGCTTGAATGTTGAACCAAACAGCAACGGAGAAAAAAAAAAAAAAACAGGTGGTTGTTGAAAACAAGCTGATGGGTCAAAATATATTATGGATCAGACATTTAGAGCTGTTGTCTGGGCGATGTAGATTTGAACCCCTGGTTCTTGTTGAGGTGAAATGGGAAGCCACACCCAGAACACCTCCAAGTCATCAATTAGGAGGAAGCTGATGAGAGTGCCGTCCGTTCTCAAAACAAGGAAACAATCCATTCAAAAACAAATGCTGGATTGGAAGCTTGCTGGTGGCAGTGGCTGGTGGCAGTGGCTGGTTGGCGTATACGTTGATGCGGTCTTGCATTCACATCCAATTGGTTCCTTCAACTTTGTTCTACGAGCGGCCCCCTTCTTCCCCTGAAATCATCGGATGATGATGTCGCCGTTGCAACCAAGTGTAACGATGCTGATGAAGGAATGATGCCGTCGTGGAACAACTTTCTACAACCATTTGGCAGCAGCCTGTACGATTTTTGCCCATGCACAACTGGCCCCAACTTGAGCTGATGCAAGACACATGAAAATTTGGGCGGTGTCCCGATATCAGGTTGCTGCTTCTGGCCAACGAAATGCAACATCTGAAGCCAGAGCTGAACTCAGGTCGGCAGGTCTTCAAAGGTGAGCCCCAAGCAGAGGTCCAACTAACCAAACTCAGTGCTTTTGGACTCAAATGAATCAAGTCATTGGAAGTTTCCAGAAAAGGCACAGGTCCAAAGCTTGAAACTTTTTCTCAAAGATCCTGTTCGAAAAGCAGATGTTACGTTCGTCCTTGCTTCCATTCTCCCAACACAAGGCATGGCAAAGGCCACCCCACAAGAGATTTGGGTTGAATCGACCATAGGCTCGAACTGACTTCAAGTGAGTCATGGTCCAAACTCGAGCCTAAAGAATCAAAAGGGTGGATGTCTGCCAGGATGTATGGTGACTCCGCCCAGAATTCAACCTTCCAGATGTTGATTTTGGGGGACAGCTTTGATTCGTAAGACTTTGACGGCACGGCATCGCTGGGCCTCAGCCTCCCTCGAAACCTTCCGTCCGGGAGGATCCGCCACGCCTCGTGAGCGAGCGGACAAACTCCTCAGGGTGCTGGGTCCCAAAGGATATAATGCTTAAACAGGGCCCTTGCTCCAAGCAGGATGGCTACTAATTGGGCCGAAACCGCAACACAAAACAATGAGCGTAGCCATTTTGGAAGTTCCCCTGTTCACACAATGCCACATGAGCCATGTCAATATATGTGGTTTCTGCACTGCAAAGGACACGGGAACTGAACGATTTTTTGCAAGCCCCCACCTCCACCAGGATCAGCTCCGCAGTGCCGGTCTGTGCGGTCGACTGGGCCTGGTCGTTCTGGAAACCAAGCGGAAGACCATTCCTTTGGGGTCACCCCGGTACCCTTTTGAGGTTGGTTGCAAAGGCAAACTATGGAAAACTGCCTTTTTTTCTAACGGTTCCCGTTTTTAGAGACGAACTCAAGGAGTAATTGGGCTCGCAAGTGACGTCTGCAAAGGTGGAATGGTCAAAACTCGAACTGGGTGACTCTCCCTGATCCCCAAAAAACGGATCCTCAGCCAAGGTCCGATTGAAGGTTTGATGATACCAATGTACCACGTTGCAGGACCTGACCCGAAAACTGGATGGTGTGAGGGAACTGCCCAAACTTCGAAATTCACACACATCAGACCATCAGGGAGTGTCCTTTTTGGGGGGTCCCCATAATTGTAGCTGTTCCTTTGGTTTCCCAATAAAACCACACAAAAAAGGCACCCTCAAAAGTAAAACACCCGTCACGACTCAGCCTTCCATCCCCATGTCTTCCACCCTTGCCATCGCCTCCACGCGCCGAAGTCCACGAAATCGGCGGACGCCGAATTTCGCATTGACATCGACCTCCTGGCGCTTCGACGGGCCGCGGACAGTCGCAGGAAAGAAGTCAGAAAGCGAAGACTCTGCGAAAGGGCTGAACAAATATTGGAAGCTTTTGGCAGCCAGCTGTGGCTCAAAGCTTGAAAAACTCTGAAGCTCGTGACCCTTGATTGTCCTCGATTCCTCCACGTGGTCGCATACTGTCACTTATGATACTGGCCCCAAAAGAAAGCCACGAATCCGGCCTCCCCCCTGTAAAAGGCAGAGCTGCGCGTTGTTGCCACATTTGCCAAAATAATCTATATATATATATATATATAATATCTAACCTTGACCTTGGCCTGGCAACATGTGCAAAAAACTCCAAGCTGCTTGGACTCCCAAGGTGATGTGTTTCCGTTTCTCCCCGCCAGTTTGGCACCTGCCACAAGCGTGGAGCAGGCCGTGAAAACGGCGCCGGAGCGAGAGGTGCCACCTGTGCCACCGACATCATTTCCGAATGCCGAATGTGGATCGCAAGAAGAGCTGTTCTCCAAAACGCCCGGCTGCCTTTAAACTTTAAACACCCTTCCTTTCCGGGTGAACTTGTGTTGCGTGCGCATCACGCAACTTGCGTTTTTGCATGGACATTCTGCGGTTCGTCCCTGGTTTTCATGTGTGCTGCCCATTTCGTCCATTGTGATCATTGAGGGTGTCTCTGTGCTTCCTTGCGGCCGCAAAATCCAAAGGGGGACGCTCCCAAAATGGTTGGTTGACATGCATTCGCAAATCAATGATATACACCAAAGGTCTCTAATCTAAATTCACATCCATGCTGATGGAAGAGTAGCCTGACTGAGGCACGAACGAGGCTGGGCCTCCAAGTGGCCGGCGCTGCGAGCATAGCAACAGAAGCAGCGATGAAAGCCCTGGTCACAAAAACACTTCTCCAAAAAAGAGTGGCTAACATGTGGCGATGCATCATAAAATTCGTCCCTTTGAGTGTTTTGACACGCAACAGTGGAACGAGTGAAATCATGTGCTACCTGTGGCCTTTTTGGCCAAGTACTCGAAAATAATGGATTCGTGTCCAGCTGATTCATCAGAGAGAACAGCCAAGCTTGAGCAACGCATTGGCACGTCGCGACGCTTCAAGGCACTCGTCCAGGGCGTGCGCAACAAAATTTTCAAAGCTGATGAAACCAAGCCAGAACAAATTCAGATGAACAAATCCAAATTAGAGGCGAACAGGAGGGGTGCTTCAAACGTCACTCGCACGCCAAATCATCACCATCACCAGCAGCAGCAGCATCATCATCATGATCATCATCTGTGCCATCTTCAAAGGTCGCCAAACGGGCGGTGATGCTGGGGACGCAAAAGAGGGCTTCAGAGTTGGGCCAACCCGTTCAGCTTAGTCGTGCGCAGCCCGACAATACCACAAGGTGCGCAAACGGTAGCACAACTACGGAAGCGCTCCATTGACAGGCCAAGCGCAACCATTTTTAGGTACCAAGGAGGCAGCTTGCTTGCCGTTAACTGGCTGACCACTGCACGCATCATTGCGATCGACATCTGCTTGCAACTGAGTTTCAGGCCCTAGGCCCGCCAAGCACGGCCAGGCCAAGCACGGCCAATGTCATGCAATGGTTGTGTGCAAGAGCTGCCTTCTTGATTGGTGAATACAAGGAGGCTAAACACTGCAAACAGAAACGACCACTACCTCAACGGTGCTAACTTTGACAACTGAGCAAACCAAACGAAAAAACACACAAACACCTGAGGCCAAACCAAGAGAACCAAGAAAGCGACTTGTTTCAAAGAGGATGCTGAATAAAAGCAAAAAGGAAAATCGTTTGCGTGAAACGAGAGGGAGGTGCTCACATCTTACAAAAACATACAAACGTGGCGCAAAACCTACCGACAAGCAAGTGTTTGGACATTCCCTCGCTGCTTCAACAAGGATCGCCTTCTGCCAAAATGTATTCCATGTGGCCATTTGCAACCACGCAGCTCCGCTGTTTAAGCAAAAAAACAAAAAGAAGAGCTGAGAGCGTAACACCCAAAAAAACAAACAGATAAACACAAAGATGGCCGTTTACCCATGAACCCTCAAGCTTCTGGGTTAAACCTTCCGCCTTTGCCAAAGCTTGACGCGATCACCGCTGTGCGAAGCCACCATAACATCAAAAGCAAAGACAAAATGCGCCAGTCCGCAGTTTCGGTCAGTAGATTGAGCATCTGGATTTCATAAAGCGTGTCCGCTCAAAGGACGTCGTAGAATCAGCCGCTGACCTGCAGCATGGTGGTCAACTCATGCCAAACAAGAATATTGTGAATTTATATTTACATTTTTATACAGCTCATTTGTTTTTTTGCGCTGAAACAGCGGACCTGTAATTGCAAAGGCCGCGTTGATCAAAACATGTGAATGCATGTTGATGTAAGTGCAATCAAAAAAACCAACAAGAAAGTTGTTCAGCAAATCACCTCATGCCTGCGCATGGGCTAACAAAACGGCGAGCAGCCGATTCCAGGCTGCGACCAAAGTGCCTACATTGTTTTTGGACATGGCGTAGGCGCAACGGGGCTGGCCAAGTAAAGAATTTTGGTTTGAAAAGAAGACATAATCGGCACTTTTTCGGCCAATGTCCTTTGTCTCCCTGCTTGTTTCTGCTTGTTCTTGCTTCACGGCTGGAAAAGGCACAAAAAACACACTTCTGAAAACCTTGTTCTTGCTTAAGAGCGACTTGCACCGCTTAACACCAAGGCATTAAAGTTAATCTTGGGAAATTCTTCCCGGGTTTTGGTAGCTAAGATCGCAAGTCCGGTCCAGGGCACTGCTGAAAGAGCTGCAGATAACAAGGCAGCCAGTTAGAGCGCCCGGCAGAAAGCGCCTAAAGTAGAAGCGCCTGTCCACCTTGCGTTCCACTAGGCGCAAGAGCGCAAGAACCGTGTTAAATGATTCCGTAGCGCCTATGAAGAAGGCATGCGTGTCTCCCGGCACAAGTGTGGCGAACATCCGATGCCATTAGCAAACTGACGCGCTCCGGAACATTGCATTTGGGGTTCACCCCGCACATGGTGCTGTCTGCCAGGCGTGGCCCACTGCAACGCCCTTGCCTCAAGGCGGCGTGGTAGTGTTTAACAACCGCCTTCCAAGCATTGGGTTCAAACCAGAAAATGCTCAAATTAAGGGCATACATTTGGCGTGGGTGGATGCATGCCAGCAACATGCCGCCAACCCATGCGTCCAGCATGTCGCAGCCCGTTGCAATTGCAACTGGGCACGCTAGCATTGCGGAAGTGCGCACAGCTCAGAGCAACAGCTTTTGGACTGAGCGGAGTTTTAGCCTGTACTTCTTGCACGGCGGATCGTCCAGAATGCTACGCTCCGTCCGGCGCCCTTCAAGCCGACGCCTCTGGGGCCCGCTTCCACATTGCTGCTGCGACTGAGCCAATGCTGGCGTTGACAAATGTCAAAAAAGACTTTTGCCCCCGAGCTCTTGTTTTCTTGCTTATTCGATCCGCCGCAGCGGCTCAAAAAAGCCAGAACTTCCTCGTGGCCTTTCAATGCGTGCAGGTCTGATTCTGAAGAAGCCCGCAGCGTGGGAAGAGCCGGCGGATAGACGGCTGTAAAGCGCGCAGACGCCGTTTGCAGCATGCCAAGCGGCCAGAAAGCTGGACGGGGCTTTTCCAGGATTCTCAAGTACGTTGGCTGCGCTCCAAGATGTACTTCATCTCACGGTCCAGCCCAACGGCGCGCACAAACAACATCGGAGCTTCTGCATGCAGAGACAAATCTGGGAACACAGTCGCTGCTCATGCTGCGCCCGAAAACCAGCCGACAGCCTGCGGCACCTCCGCTCTCCGGACAGCGCACTCCCGCTGCCGGCACATTCAGCACGGTTCACCCTTGCCGCTTCGCATCCGCCCGCAAGCAAACTGGCCCAGCCTCTGCCAGCGGCATTGGAACACGACCTGCCGGCCAAGCATGCAGCAGGCAGCTTTGCTGCCACTGCAGAAACAACCGGCGAACACACGTATCTACGCACCCCAAGCCTGGCTTTCTCTTTCTTGTTTTTGCCCAAACCCGCAGCCTCTGCAGCAGACGCCACTGCGGGCGATTTCCGAGAAAGGCTTCCGCGCTCCCGCAGGGACGAGGACGTGGCCCGGATCTAACCGAGGCTGCGGGGTGCGGCCCCCGCTCGAGTTGGAGTGCCACGCTAAGCACCAACTTCGAAATTCAGAACGTCCTCTCGCCAGCTCCGCCCAAAGGCGAAGGAGTCTGTCGTCTTCCGGCGCATAATCTCCTTCTCAAGAAGCTCGATGCGACGCCGCTGAGCGGCCTCGAGCAGCGCATCTTCGCAAGGCGGTTTTTTTTTTGTCGAATAAGCGAGAAACAAGCTCGGGGCAAACGCTCTTTTTCGCTTCCAACTGTCTACGCCTAGCATTGACTCCGGAGGCTCCACAAGGAACTCCATCGTCAAAGGGCAGAGCGTAAGCGGCCAGCACCGCAGCTGGTGTTCCAGCGGGAGCGAGTTGTGAGCGTCGAGGCCGTAGACCTGTCGCTGAAGGGGAGAGGGCTGCGCGAAGGTGCGCTTGCCTCAGCACCTCTCTGTACTCAAGTGCCAGACGTTGGTCACCCTTCTTGGGCACGCCCTTGACATTGCTCCTCCTGTGCACATGTTGGCGATTTGCTGGTCAAGTGCTTTGGCGGAGAGCAGGTGCACTGCTTGGCTCGAAGAAAGCAAGCCAAAAGCTGTGTCTTCGTACGCGCGGATACTGGCGCGCTGTGAGCCTAGTTGCCAAGGGATCTGACTTGGTTTCATAGACCATGCTGAGCAGGCGGATGCTTGGCTCCTGGATAGTTTTTCTGGAACTTGTGCACCAGGTTCTGGACAACCTCCAAAGTCAGCTGGCGGGGGCAGATGCTCTGCCCATGCGATGGCTGGCGATGCATGCGTGTCCATGCATCTCTTGCGTGGATGCGGCCCTGGCAATTTCGAACGCTTTCCTAATGCGTGCGGCTGGGATGGAGTGTGCGTAATCTGCGACTTCCAACGCGGTCTCTGCGGCTCTCTTTAGAGGGGCTAAACCGAGAAGCCTGGAACAGGTCCATTTTTCCGTGTTTTTGCTTGTTTTTTTTGGCGCTGTCACTCAGCGTCAAAAACGACAAAGAACGACAGCGAGCTTTTTTTCCCGAAAGCATGGCGAAGGGTTCTTCCGCTGGGTTCACTTGAGTTGTTCTCATGAGAGTCATTACAAAGTGTCATTGCAAGGAATCATCATCACAAGGAATCATCATCATGAAAGTCAATGCAAGGAGTCATTGCAAGAAGTCATTGCAAGGAGCCATTGCAAGGAGTCATTGCAAGGAGTCAATGCAAGGAGTCATTGCAAGGAGTCATTGCAAGGAGCCATTGCAAGGAGTCATTCCAAGGAGCCATTGCAAGGAGTCATTGCAAGGAGTCAATGCAAGGAGTCATTGCAAGGAGTCATTGCAAGGAG